TAAAACTAGTTGATACACTGAACTACAATGCAACACTCACAACATTTAATATAGAACACAGAAAAGATCTTCACAGAAAGATGAAAATGTGCAGCAATAGGGAATAATTGCCCACAAACTGACAACAAGGCTAGAAACCAGCATCAGAATGAATCTCTGAAGGGAGAGGCATACTTTAACAAGAGTGTGAAATAAGATGGTTGAAAATTGTAAACACAAACTAGTAGCAAATGATGAGTAAGAGTAGCAGAAGGCCCAGTGCAATGTGCCTCCAACCAATTGCCCAAATCACTCAAGCTGCAATGTATTTGGCCTCTTGGGAAAAGTCAGTGCATGGAGGGTGTATACAAATGACTGCAAAGAGGGACTACAAGGATTGGGCTTGGATTTCTGGGACAGGGGCAAGAGATGGGGAACGCAAGGATGATACAGCAGAGGCTGCAAAGCTCACCATCCAGTAGTAACTTGCTATCTGCTTTCTAGTTTCTCACAGCCTATGAGGCAGCAACTAAGCTATTCACAAGCCTTATCATGTATCTGACCTTTCACATGCTTCAGGAAAGGAGGGTGTAGGAAGTGGCTGCTTCATCTAAAACAGGTTTAGAAAGATTTTGTAGATACGAGCATTAGATCACTCTGCTCTACTGGCATATCAAGTTACAGAAAAGCATAAATCAAATGGTGCAATTCATCACCAAAGAGTAGTTTTGAACCTTAAATATACTCCCCCAGAATTCCTAGAATGTTGCTGCATTCAATGACAAGAAGGCGTGCAGAATGATCCAATGCTCTCAGCTTTCTGACACTGTTTGAACTCAACGTGTCCCTGCAGCACAGGAATCAAATCTCTCACTCGTTTCAAAGAACCTCTTAGATCGTGGTTGATCTGAGGAACTTCAAACCTGCCAATGACGATAATGGCATCTATGAAAAAAATAGATTGGGACCTAGAATTAAAGAGAGGGGGGGAAGTGAGAACATCAGCCTGATTGCCGCCAGTGATTCATTTTGGAAAGTGCATGTGTGTAAATGATTAGCAAGGACAGCATCAGGATCTGCTGACAAGGTCCTGATAATTGAACAATTCAACAACATAACCTAGGTATACGGGAAAGGATTCACCACATAGTCAAGGTGGCCACAAAGCTGCCAGCCCCTGTAGAACTGCATCCCAGGAAGATTTCAGCAAAGGAACGGCAAAGCAAATGACAAAGCAACAAAGCACTATTGTCAAGCACAGCAGATTACCAATAAACAGGAACTCCAACAGATCTTTGATCAATTGAGAACAAGGTCAGAGAACAGGACAAACCACCTCACCTGAAACTCACCATCAGCACCAAATCGCTAAAGTGCTTGCAAACAACATGTATAATTTTAGATGGCTTTAATAAGCACTGAGGCTCAGGAGAAACAAACAACTTTAAACCAATCTTTTCCAAAATTGTATATCTCTGGGATTTTCCCTGCTTCATTAGTCAGTTGTCAACTTATTGATTTGCCAAATGGACTGACACTGTATCGTGGTGACTACAGGATCCTAAGAAGTGAACTACATGGATTTTGGTCAAACCTCAAACAGCAATTCCTACGTTTATTTTCCAAATGAAGACAAGCCATGGTGTTTGGCCATTTTTCCAGGAAGTTCCATAGGTTGCCAAGTTAGACCTCCTCCAGAGTTTGAGACCAAACATAAGCATGGTTGTGCAGAGAAAAGTGTTGTCGTTTCCACAAAGGATTTCTTTTCTGGGGATGGGGTGGGAAATGGAGATTATGAAATGAACCACATTCATGCAATGACAGGACTGTCACATTGCACATACTCCCACTCTTAGCAATGACCACACTGTTTTTGATCCTCACTCAGCATGAGGTGGGCAAATAAAAGTAAGGCAGAAAACAAAAGACATCATGTCCTGTACCATATCGTCAACGAAAAGATAACAGAGGATATTTGACACTGTTTGGCCAGTGTTTATGATCCACTTGAGCTTTCTTCCATCTTTTCTCACCTAAATCTACCACTCTCCAATCCCTTCGCTCTCATATTTACCTAATTTCAATTCACTTCAACCATTTCCAGTAACAGAGTTTCACATTCTCACCATTTTTTTGTTTCTTCTGATTCCCTGCGGAAATACTTGGTGACCATCTTATATTGACGACCTGTAATTATGAAATCCCCCACATGAGAGAAATTTTCTTTTGAAATTCCAAGCCATTTTAGGCTTATGTTAAGCAAATTAGGTGAGAATAGGCCACAAATGCTGACTCAGCCTGCAACACTGACATCTCATGAACGAACAAAGAAAACTGCCATTCATCCAAAATCAAACTGTTTGAATTTTCTCACACTTGTTAGCACGGTCTCCCTCAAAATGCCATTGTGGCTTTGTGACTTGAAGATTTCAACCAATACTGAAAGGATTCAATCCTGAAAGGAGTTGAGATACACATCAACTTTGACTGGTGGAACAGTTTGGGATGGGGCTGAATGGCCTACACTGTTTCTATGTTCCTGCAGTTCACTGTGTGGTAACTGAGTTTGGTTACATAAGTGCCTACAACAGCGCTTTTAAACTCACAGGACACTCTGGGTAAATTAGATCGAAAATCCATAAGATACATCTGCTGTCAGAATTAAGTAAGACCAGCGCAGGTGAGGAGTCTGAGATGCAACATTGTGTGGAGATGTTTGGTAGAAATTTCTGCAAATGGTCAAAAACACTTGTTCATTTCTTCCTCAAATATTCTGCCCAGTGTGGTCTGAACTTATCCTCACTGTTTCTAACCGTACGTTCCACAAGGAGAATGACAAACCCTCCTTCATTCCATCTTGCACCCAGAATGAGGGCTTCCAAGGAGAATGTGGAACCGCTATGTACACAATCATGTTCAATTTTATGGAGGAGTGCTGAAGGGAAGATTTGCGAAGAAAGAACTCCATCATATATTATTGCTGCCCCATGGAATGACAACACAGGCTATGAGGATCTCGGTGAGGAGAATTTCACTGAAGGCACAAGAGATGCAACTAAATGACCATCACTTCCATGGATAATGGGACAAGGCTCTATTGGGATTCTCAGTCTCCTGTCAATCACAGTGGTTGCTGGTTGTGCGAACTCAAAAACGTCTGTCTACATTTGGTCATTGCTGGAGAGGCTTCAGAAGAATTATGTGGAGGGCAGCATCACAAAGGCCTTGGCTGAAGACTTCATTAGTGACCACAGCAAATCCCATTATTGACATCCCTTTTCATTAAAGGGATGGAACATCAATGATGGTGCCCATCACTCTTCTCCCACTTCCAAACAAAGGACATCCCTTTAATCCCAGAATAGTGCAACACTGAACACATCAGCTCGCTGCCCTGAAATGACTGAACTAATAGCCATCACCAGATTGAATAAGTCAGCATCCAGTCAGTGCATAAAAACAGAAAATGCTGGAGAAACTCAGCAGGTCCGGTAGCACGCGTGGAGAGAAAAACAGAGTTAACGTTGAGTCCATCAAGACTCTTCTTTGTCATAATGAACTCAAAATGCTGACTCTTTCTCTCTCCACAGATGTTGCTGAGTTTCTCCAATGCTCTGTTTTTCTTTCAGATTTCCAGTATTTGGCTTTTATCCCAGTAAGTGTATTCTTTCCTCTGGACTTGGAAAGCACAACATAAGGACATGCTCTAGTTTATTGTAACAACGTCTAAAGTAAACACAAGCCGACCTACTCTTTCCTTATATTGTGTCTTTATCGCCCCAACTATTCCGAGTTGCAATCTGTATCATGGGAGGATTATTGACTATTCCTCTCATGGCATTGGCCTCTAGACAACAAGCCTTTTCTGTCTGCACCTTTGGAACTTTTGTTGGAAAGTGTGGTGCCCCTTCCTCCTGAGGGGGGAGGCTGGAAGCTTGACAATGGCTGCTGCCCTGACAAAAGGCAGTAGCAGGCAGAGGGAATTGTCATTTACTAGGCCTTGGATCTTGTCCACCCTGATATGTGACAAACATGACAGGGTCACCAAGGACAATGAACCAATGTCTGTAGAATGATGTTGAGTTGCTTCCTTATCGTCACCACACAATCATCTTCTATGGAGCTCTGGCATGAAGCCTCTAGATTCTTGATACTTCATATGTGTGTGTGTATGTATTTTGTGTGTATGTATTGTGTGTTTGTGTGTGTGTATGTATTGTGTGTTTGTGTGTGTGTGTGTGTGTGTATATTGTGTGTGTGTATGCATTTGTGTGTTTGTGTGTGTATTGTGTGTATGTGTATTGTGTGCGTATTGTGTGTGTGTGTGTATTGTGTGTGTGTGTGTGTGTGTGTGTATTGTGTGTGTGTGTGTGTGTATTGTGTGTGTGTGTGTATTGTGTGTGTGTGTGTATGCATTTGTGTGTTTGTGTGTGTATTGTGTGTGTGTGTGTATTGTGTGTGTGTGTGTATTGTGTGTGTGTGTATTGTGTGTGTGTGTATTGTGTGTGTGTGTGTATATATTGTGTGTGTGTGTGTGTATATTGTGTGTGTGTATTGTGTGAGTGTATTGTGTGTGTGCGTGTGTATTGTGTGTGTATGTGTGTATATTGTGTGT